AATCCCTCCTGTTATCACGGCTCACTGTCCAGGACAACTCCCTGCTGCAGTGCAAATGTTCTAGATCTGTGTGGTCCAGTGCAGTAGCCACTGGCCCCTGTGGCTACTGAGCACTTAAAATGTCACTCCTGCAACCCAGGGACTAAATTATTCATGTTGTTTCCTGTTCGTTTAAGTAGCCACATGCAGCTAGTGGCTAGCAGTCGGGCCGCGCGGGACCAGAGCCTGTGATTGAGGCCAGCTGTCTGTCCCAATTCCAGTGCAGTGGTCAGTGCGCTCTGCAGATGGAATGGTCTCTCTGCTTTGGTGCTTGGGTGATGCTTTGTGCTCCTCCCCATCAGCTCTGAGAGCTGGAGCGCGACCCTCTCCTCGGTGATCTGACTGCCCTCCCAGCCCCCACCCCGGCTGCTGGATCCCTTGTGTCTTCATCTCATGTCCTCACCACCCAGCACATACTGGGCTTCTGGTAAACGTGGGAGGAAGGAGAAGGAGATGCAAAGTAGGTAGGAAGGAAGTTAGGAAGTTGGAGAAAGATGAAGTCTGGGAGTTAGATACCTCAAGGGGGGCCTGTGGTCTGTACTGCAGAGATGAAAATCTTAGAGTATTGAGGTGAGTCCCAGGAACAGGCACCTGCATGACCAAAGGAGATGGCGGTGCTCCAGACGCCTGAGTATTTCATGTGCAAGGCTATGGGGTTTGAGGGGAAGGCAGTTCTCCTAACATTGACCCTGTTGTTTCGCTGGGTTCCAAAGACCATCGCTGTGTTTTGGGGTCACTGTCCTAAGAGAATCACCCAAATGTATTGGGAAAGATCTCCAGGGTCTATTCTGCCCCTGGGAGGTGAGTGAGGTACCTCCAGGCACTGTGCTGGGAATGGGACTCTGCCCGGCCTTCCTGAGGAGGCTCCCCAGCCTGAGAGGGTCCCAATGAGACGGAACTAGGGGGGGGGGGAGCGCCACCAACTCCAGGGGAAATATGGTGATGATTTGCTGGACTGTCTAAGAAATTTCAGACCCAGGGATGGTGTTTTTATTTTCTGCTTTCTCTTTGGGACTTGGGTTTCACTAAAGCATTTTCTGTCTTTGTTTTCTTTATTAAATTAGCAAGATTGACTTGAATCAGAATGTACTGTTATGGCTTGAAATGTTGTTGAAAGAACAAAATAGACGGGCATGACAAATACCTCAGGTTCCATTTGGAGTGGGGAGGAGGAAGAGAGTGGGACTTGCCGAAATCATAATGGTTGTTTGTCTGATAAAAAAAAAAAAAAATGAGACAAGAAAAAATTGTGGAGGAAAACAGTGAAAGGAAGATAAATTTCTGTTTCTTGAAGCTCATATACATTTTTTGGAATGGAGCCTAGGATGTTTGTTGGGAGGGGGATGTTTCTATTCCCGGCTTTTTTGGTGTGTGTTTTTATGTTGTTGTCGATTTTTACTTTACATCATTTTCATGCTGAGATAATTAACCAGATGCCCAAGTGGCTGTGGCTGCCGAAAACTCATCGCATTCCACTGGTCCCTCGCCATCTGGGCCGTGTCTCAGTGCATCCTTCCCAGGCTTCCCTCGTGGACTTTCTACAACAGAGTCTGAGGCCCTGCCACTTCTCCGCTTAAAGGGCCTGCGTGGCTCCTCAGACCCCACCGCAGCAGGCAGCACACTTCTCTGTAAAGGGCCACCGAGTAGGGTGATAGGCTTTGTGGCCGTTCGGTCTCTGCCTGGTCGCAGACAGTGTAACCCGGTGAGCGTGGCTGCGTTCCCTTTTAGAAGTCCAATTGCAGAAAGAGGCTGGGGTGGCCCTGGAGCTGACCCCTGGCCTCCGGGCTACCTTCAGATGCCTTGGCCTGGCATTCTAGACCTCTTGCCATTTGACCTCAGTCTGCACAACCACGGCCCCACCCACTCCCATTCTTTAAAACCTCAGAAGACACGGGGTCTTTTAAAAGGTTTCACCCTTTTGCCTGTGCTGCTTCTGCACTTGAATTACCATCTTTTCTCTGTTCTTGCTTTTCATATGGGTTGGATCTCTGTGCATTACCTTACATAAAGCTCTCACCCACTGCCCAAGGTCAAGGCCGACCCCCTGCCCCTCTGTGCTCCCTATGCTCTGTCCAGGCCTCTGATGTCCCCTTTACCATGTGGCTGCTCCCCAGTGAGACACTGCGGGAGCGTGTGCTCTCATTCCCCTAGTACCCAGCCTGGAGTTCAGCTTGGAGAGGCCCCTGAACAAATGGTCATGAGGTTGACCCACCAATGGGCTGGTGAGTCTCGGAACCATAGGGAAGTGTAGTGACGTGTAGGTGAGAAGGTGCAAACCCAGCCAGACAGGCTGTGGGAAGCCAGGGGCCAGCGTGGCTGAGGGGGTATGAGGATCAGGGAGCGAAAACAGAGCCAGGTCAGAGCCTAGAGGACCTGTTGCACCAGGACCGTCTGGGAGCCCGCTGGCATCCACTGCATGGCCCAGACAAGGGAGTGCAGGGGCGAGGGAAGCCGTGTCTAGTTTAGGGCATCGGGACCAGGGAGAGGATGCAGCCTGCTGGAGTGAGATCAGAGGAAGCAGCCCGCATGATTAATGGGACGGAGGGACTGACTCATGAGGAAAGATTAAAGCGCTCCTCGGAGCTGGGGTACAGACTGAAAGGGGCAGATGATAGCAGGCTGCAAGTATGAGATGGATAAACACCCAGGAGGGAGCCACTGGCTTCATTAGGGAGGTGAAAACAGGGCTCCATCCCAGAAGGAGAGGTTGCTGATGGAGGAACTCAGATGAGGGTGGGCCGGGGGCAGTGGGGCTGCTGGAGCTGGGAGCACCACAGGGTGACTCTTTCAGAGAACCCTCTGCTCTCATCCTGCAGGGTCTCAGGTCTGCCTTAGTGGTGCCCTTGGCCCTGGGAGGCGGCCTCAGAAGTGCCCGCCTGCCAGGCTGGGAGGGCTGACTGGAGAGGGTGTGGGAGGGCAGCTACAGGGAGCGGTACCTCCGGGACAGACAGAGAGACACAGACCCATGTCCCTCCCTCTTCTTAGATACCAGTGAGTGGACGCTGGGGCAGTGTGGAGGCCCTTTGCTCCGAAGCCAGGTTGCTTCTGCCCTCCCAATTTTGGGTTGAACCCCAGATACTCATTCCAACCCCCTCCTGAGAGCACAGGGCCCCCCTCCCCTCTGCCTGCAGCAAGCCCAGCCTTCACCCTGACCCACAGCTTCCTCGGAGGGCTCCTCCCAACAGGGATGGCCTGGCAGGCATTTTGGGAGGCAAGATTTACTTGCAACAGCATTAAGCAGCCCCGGGCTCCAGAATCAGCTGCCCTCGGATATTCTCTGGTATTTTCTCGAGGACTGGGCAGAGCAGCTGGTGCCATCTGACATCACCGTAGGTTATTGATAACTAATTCACCAAGGCCTGTAGTAGAGAGGCGTGCTGGACGCTGGGTGACATTCGGATCACCTGGGGTGCTCTTCTTAAACCACCCGCAGGGTCTCAGGCCTGCCTTGGTGCCCTCCCAGCCTGGCAGGCGGGCACTTCTGAGGCTGCCTCCCAGGGTCAAGGTCAGCCCCAAGGCAGGCCTGAGACCCCGCAGAATCTCAGGGAGCTTCTGGCCCAGAGGGCAGATGCCACCTAGGGCAAAGCAGGATGGAGCCGGAGTCTGAAATGGCTCCTCTCAGAGACTTTCCATTCTGCATGCTGCAGCCGTGCGTGGCTCTGATCCTAGGGCTCACCTCTCATTCACAGCCCTGACATTCTGGGTGCAAAGACAGAGGATGAGTCTCTCCCAGCCTTGACTCTCAGGGCTTCCTTCAACGATGTCTTTAGAAAATAGCAATGCACTTGCTAGTTATAAGGGTAACAGCCCAAGACCTCCATGAATCTTCTAGTTCCTGAAGCCAACACAGCACTGATTACCCAGGTGGGGAGTCTAACAAGTTTTAGGAGTATCAAGTGAACTCTTTTTATTTTTAATTTTTGGTAATTGCATATTTCTTTTGATAGATATTATTACTTAGGTTGAGGTTACTTTATATATTTAAATAAAAGAAAAAAGCAAGGAAAGATAAAAATACTGGTAGTATTTAGAAATGGCAAAAATTATGTGTGGGGGGGTGGTGTTTACAATGGACTGAAGTTTGCAAAACTGCCCTGAAGTAAGTGGTGTCCCGCGGGGAGTCCAGTATTCCCGGCGGAGTCTCATTCTTTCTTTCCAAACTCCTCTGAAGCTTTCTCACCACCCAAGAGACTTTTGCCCTGACTTGAGCACTTTCTGAAATGGGTCAGTAGGTACTTGGTCTTGGCTTTGTGGAGAGAAATAGTGTGAGCTTGTTCCTTTCATAGTTCTGAGGTTCTACCCAATTCCACTTCCCAAACTTTCACATCACTCCGTCCCTTTCTGTTCCTCTCACTGGGCCTGGCAAACAGAATGTGTGACTCCCTCAGAGTTCCTGGGAGAGATCATTGAGATGTGAATCCTGGGGGGGAGGGGGAGGTTAGGGAGGGCAGTTAAACTAAGTCACGTAGCAAAGCGATGACTTACTTCCGGAGACCAGCCTTATGACAAGGGCTTTTAAGCTTCATATCTCACTAACACATGGATAGTACACATTTTAGAAATGCCAGTTCTAAAACGAGAACTCTTGAAGAAACAGCAATCTTCTGAATATCATTCCTCCCCCACCCCCCACCCCCATTTCTGTATTTAGCTTGTGTTGGGGAAGAGGTAACCGTAAATGATGAATTTTAGAAACACTCACGTCACCTGTCTCTGAAGAACCACCTGCCCTGTGCTCAGTTTGCTCTGCATCGGGAGTTCTGTGAGTGCAGGTCGCCGTGGGAATCCCTCCCTGAAAGAGGACGTGTCACTGCTGTGCGCGTCATGTGAACTTGGCCTGTGCTTGGTTTTCTCTGGTGTGCTTTATCGGCTCCTTGCCTTCACAGTAAGCTGCAGTGATAACGTTGCAGAGTTGTGGAAAGGGATCTCTAATGCCCCGTTTTCTTTCTAATTGCTCCCAGCTGTCGGCATTCAGATGAAACTCGAATTTTTCCAGAGGAAGTTCTGGACCGCCAGCAGACAGGTGAGTTACAGGGGGCACGGAAGCCTCGGCGGCCCTGCTATTCTACAGGTGCTCACACTCGGGTCCCCGGAGCTGCACGGTGCCAGGTTTCCGATGAGTGTGTGTAAAATGAACTGCCAGCGGCTCAGATTACCGTTCATTTCACTGCGGAGCAAAGGCTGTCAGCGTGTACGGTGCCCCGTGCTGGGAAGCAGGGACTTTGATCCTACGGACAGTTCTAATCATGAGATCAGGGTAGTGACCCTCCAGAGGATACATGTTTTCTTTTCATAGCGGGGACTTTTGTGAATTTTCAGTGTCTCTCTTCAAATCTTGTCACACCTGGATGTCTACCTGTGAACTCCTTATTGCACTCTGGAAGGACTTTGCATGACTGGGTTTGGTGAGGCACCCATCTGCCCTCTTGGGTCAGAGGGCTTCTCCGTCTTGGAGAATGTAGGGGTGTTCTCTCCTGGGCCTGGGCTCCGGGTACTAACTTCAGGGGTATTTGTGCAGTCATCTGGCAGAAATGGCAACACATAAGTGGGCCTCTGTGCTAAATGTTGGATGATAGATCCTTTCTTAAATGAAGACACTTTAGGAAACTATAGACTAAGAACACAGATGGGTTTTTTAAAAAAAGTCACTGGTGATGCATTCATTTAAAATAAATAATTACATAATTATATTTCTTGTTACCCAAAGATTTTTGAATTCTTAAGAAGATATCAATGTTAAATAACAACATAAATTAAAATGAAAAAGAGCCAGCCCCCTCCCCCCAATTATCTTTTATATTACTATTTGGAGTTGATATGTTGGTATTGATCCAAGAGAGGGCAGGTAAAACTCATTGTGGAGAATTCTGTTTAGATGGAATTTGGAATTTGAATAATAGGCAGGGACTTTGGTGCCCATAGCAGACCTGGGATGTCACAGTAACACATTTCCCCTTGCTTTCCCCTCCCGCAGTGTGCCTCTCTGGATGGCAAATGCTCCATCAGCTGTGATGACGAGGTAAGAAGGCCTCCTGGGGAGGTGATGGAGGGAACCTTCTCACAGAGGAAATGCCGCTAAAACACGGATTGATCTGAGCCAGTCTCCAAAACACCCAGGGATACTTGCTTTGTTCCTTTTTTTCTTTCTTCCCCCAATCAGATAATTTATGAGAGCCCGAGAAATGTGCTTTAAATGTCCCATGGCAGCACTATTGGAATTCTGGCATTTTATAGGAAAAACTACAAATTACTGCCATTTGAAACTCACGTTACAATTCTCAAATCTTTTCCCCTATGTGCTATCTCTTTTTATCCTCATAACAACCCAGTGAAATGGGTAGGAATGGTTATCCTGTTTTGCAGAGGGCGAAACTGAGGAGCAGAGAAATTAAATGATCTGCTTAATTTCATGTACTAAATGAGCTGAAAACCTAGGAGTTGAAAATTCAAAGTTTTTATTCTAGAATAGTGCTTCCCTCCTACAACCCCCCCCCCCCCAAGAGGAATTTAAATCCCACGCATGAGCAATAGAAGAAAAAAGTGTACCACGGCCATAAGTCTGTCTGTCATACTTATGTTTTTACAGCAGTCAACCCCATACACCCTCTGCCTCATGCTTTAGGGCAAGCAGATGTGTAGTGGCCTCTCCCCTTGGCTCTGGTAGCCTTTGTCTCCAGTGTTAGCTAAACATTAGTCAATACATAAACTGGGACTTATAAATAATCATATATTTATATTCCTGCCGGTTACCACAAGGATTAAAGAAATCCTAGCCAAACATAATTTCAAACAGAAAACATAGAAGTATATTTCAAAAAAAGTAGGCAAAGGAAAAACAAGTAGAGAACTGTAGAAAGGAGGAAGTTAAAACATACAATGCTCAGTCCCCAGAGATCTGGCTGCCAGTTTAAAAAAAATATCATAATTGTGTGAGTGAGTCACTATCCAAAGAGTAAAAGCCAAACAATCAGCTTTTCAGAAGAAGCCCAACTTTTTCTTTCAAATAAAAAATTAGCCCTAACCAGTTTGGCTCAGTGGATAGAGCGTCAGCCTGAAGACCAAAGGGCCCCAGGTTCGATTCAGGTCAAGGGCATGTACCTTAGTTGCGGGCACATTCCCAGTAGGGGGTTTCCAGGAGGCAGCTGATCGATGTTTCTCTCTCATCAATGTTTCTAACTCTCTATTCCTCTCCCTTCCTCTCTGTAAAAAATCAATAAAATACATTTTAAAAAATAATAATTTTCCCATATCCAATAGCAAAGAGCTTCCTTATGATGTTTTATGACCAACCCTTTCAGTAAGTTTGGGACTCCCAGTCATAGGATAGACACATGGCCTCAAACCTCTTCTCTTCTTTGAGACATTTAGTGCCATATTGGAGTTCTCAGCTCAAAACAACACAGCACAACAATAACATTAATTAAACTGTTAACTTGTACAGTAGGTACAATTACTAATTTCAGAAATTTGCTGTAAGAAAACTGAGGATAGTCGGTTGGTTAGTTGGGTGACTGTATGGATGGTTGGTTGGCCATAGTTGTTTGGTTGGTTGATTGGTTTGTTGGATCATTGGGTGGGTTGCTGGTTGGTTGGTTGATTAGTTGGTTACTAGTTGGTTGTTTTCATGGTAGATGGAAAGTTGGTAAAACAATTTGATTAATAAAGCCAAAGACAGTAATTTTCTTTCAACCCACTTTGCCTCTATGCAGCCTCACATATAAAAACAAGTGGAAATAACAACTAGAATAGTCATCAAATCTACAATTAAAATAGCATATTTTTTATTTTTTAAATGTTTTTATTGATTTCAAAGAGAGGAAGGGAGAGGGAGAGAGAGATAGAAACATCAATGATGAGAGAGAATCATCAATTGGCCACCTCCTGAATGCCTCCCACTGGGGATTGAGCCTGCAACCTGGGCATGTGCCCTGACAGGAATCAAACCGTGACCTCCTGGTCCATGGGTCAATGCTCAACCAATGAGCCACACCGGACAGGCGAAATAGCATATTTATTAAAAAGTGGAAATGGATTCTAACTTAGGAACATTCAATATATGTTTGCTGTCCAATGACTGATTTCAGAGGTGGTATAGCGTGGCAGTTAAAGGAGCAGGCTATGGAGTCTGGATAGATTCAAACTGTGACTCTGACAATAATAAGCTACAAGAACTTGGGCACGTTTATGAACCTCTGTGCCGTAGGTTCCTCAGCTCTGCATTGGGGATAGAAATAGCCACCTCACAGAGTAATGGTGAGGAATAAATGAGATGATATATAAAAAATGCATGGCACAGCTCCCAGCAAATTCTAAGCACTCTGTAAATGTGAACTATAAACCAAAAATGTCTGTGATTTCATTCTTGCCCTCGAGAAGTGGTTTGCCTGATTCTAAAACCTCAGGCAGCAATGGCACATGCACTTTAGGCAACTGAACATTTCTCCTGGGCACAATAAACACAAGTAAGATGCCCTCCTCACTGATGATCATCTTTAGCAGTCATTGGGATAAACACCCATTCAAATGCCATTTAAAGTTTCACATAGCTTGAAAATTAAGCATTGCATTTTCTCTGATTTCTGAACTTGGTCTGATGCTCAAATGTCCTCATTTGGCTTTGAAACTATCATCCATTTCCCATTTTGACTCTAATTTTTGGCTTCTGGAGACTAGTAGACTTAGTTTTATTTATTTATTTTTTAAATATATTTTATTGATTTTTTTTACAGAGGAAGGGAGAGGGATAGAGAGTTAGAAACATTGATGAGAGAGAAACATCGATCAGCTGCCTCTTGCACACCTCCTACTGGGGATATGCCCTCAACCAAGGTACATGCCCTTGACTGGAATCGAACCTGGGACCTTTCAGTCCACACGCCGACGCTCTATCCACTGAGCCAAACCGGTTAGGGCCAGTTGACTTAGTTTTAAATGGAAAAGCCAGCTCTGTCTTCCCCCTGAGGCCCCTTCGCTGAGTGCCCTGGGCTGGTGGGTGGAGTCGGGCTGGCCAGATGTCACCATGTCTTGTAGAAATACATCTTTGGTTGGTCAGGCAGTGCATGAGCCGTCTGCCTTGGAGGGACTGCCTCTGAGCCTGACTGGAGACTTTTAAGGAGCTCCATTCCACGGAGGGTGAATGTTAGCTTCAGAGAGAGCACAGAGGCGATATTCATATACTCACTCATTCCTTCAAGACATGTCTACTGAGCCCGTGTATGTGCCTGCCACCTCTAGCCCCTGGGAGTCAATAGGAAGCAGAGTCAGCAATGGAACCTCATCCCCTGGGAGCTCACTGGTTGGCAGGGAGATGGCATGTGTGGTTATCAACTGCGACAAGTGCTGGGAATGCAACTAATGTGGGTGGTCAGGGAAGGCTTCTCTGAGGAGCAACATTGAAGTCACCAGAAGATGAAGATGGAGATGACATCTCAAAGCATGAGAAGCCTTTACAGGCAGAGATCACCACACGCAGGGTGCTGAGGGGACAAAGGCTAGTGCGGTCTATGGAAACAGGTTGGCATTCAGACAGAAGGGAAGAAGGAGGGCTGTGCCCACCTGTGTGTTTCATTCATGGAAACCATTGTCTCCTCACTCCTCTCATTCTCTTCTCCCACTCCTTTCCACTGGTCTCCTGATGAAAGCACAGTATTTTGCAAAGACATTGGAAGATGAGAAGTTTCTCTCCTACTGAGGCATTTGGAGAAAGTGTGAGGGCAGCGAGAAGGTAGAAGATTTCATATTAAAAATCAGCTGCCACCTTCTCTTGTTCCAAAGGAATAGAGATGAATAGTCATGACTAGACCTTGAAAGGCCTTTTAGACATTTCCTCTGGAATCTGAAAGACCTCCTTGATGTATGACAAGCTGGGGGAAGAGCTAAATCAGGTAGCCAGGTGCCTACATCTCTGCACCCACCCAGCCCAGCCAGTGGAATAGCTATTGAGGGCAAGGGCACCAGTAACTCCCACCAGGCACTTCTGTTCAAAGTGACCCCTTTGCAATAAATTTTTTCCAAAGACAGTATTTCGATAAGTGAACAAACAAAAAAGAAACAAACTCATGGATACAGAGAACTAATTGATGGCTGCCAGATGGGAGGGGGGTTGGTGGGCTGGGTGAAGGAGGTGAAGGGATGAAGAAGTACAAATTGGTCGTCACAGAACAGTCACAGGGATGTAAAGTACAGCACAGGGAACGTAGTCAATAATGTGATGACTATGCATGGTGTCAGATGGGCACTAGACTTATCGGAATGATCACTTCACAAATTGTATAAATGTCTAACCACTATGCTGTACACCTGAAACACATAGAATATTGTATGTTAACTGTAATTGAAAAACATTTTTAAAAGACAGTATTTTGGTATGAGAGTTGACCTATGATAAAAAGATACATCAAGTGATATGAAGTAAGGGTCAGTCTGTTCCACACTCGATATATTAGGGGTCAGATTGTGAGACCTGGAGAAAAGGTAGTAAAAAGTGTCACCTTAGGTACCTGAGATGCAAAGACTCAGGCCCCACCCTCATATGTAAGAGCCCAGCCCTCTCCCTTTCCCTTTCCCTTTTCTTTCCTCTCCTCTCTATTCTCTCCCCTCTCCTCTCTCTCTCTCTTCACAAATGAAAACAACAGCCAGTATAATGCTGGGCTTCTAAGCAATCATTGCTTAGAAAAGACAAGACAAAAGACAATCATTTCTAAGCAATCATTGCTTAGAAAAGACAAGACAAAAGACAAAAGAAAAGACAAACAAAAGACAAGACAAAAAGTAACCAAGCTCAACCAACCAGCCTCCACAGCATCTTGCTATGAACTATGGAGCAAATCCCCTTTCTAAATGTATAGCATTAAGACACTTGATGGCACATAGTAGGTGACCAAAAAATATCATTTGCTGAATGAATGTGGGCACAAGTTCTCTGAGGACTTCCTATCCACCCTGTACTTCACATGTGCTCAGCACTGGCCACTCCCGTCCCACTTAATCTTCTCAACAACCCCAGGAAATAGGTGTTGCTATCTCCATCTTTCAGATAAGAAAACTAAGACTCAAGTGTTAACAGATTTTGCTCACGGTCACACTGATACCAAATGTCAGAGTCTCTGATTCTCAAGCTAGTACCTGAGCCTCCTGGGGCTAATCCCCCCTTCCTGTTAACACAAGCTCTATGCTATTTCTCAGCCCAGGCCCCCTTCCTCACCAGCTCTCCTCGCTCTCTGTGATTTTACCCAATGAACATGGCCTGGTTCTGGGCTTTATCCTCAGGTTCTGACTCATCTGCCTCTGTGCCCTGGAATCAGATATCTCTGAGCAATACTGAGTCACCAAATAATTGAAAAAAGATGTCCTTAAAAAATAAAGAAAGGAAAAATTTAAAAAAAAGTTCTCTCTGACTCTCTCCCTCTCTGTCTTTATCTTTGCATTTTTTGAACAACCTCATCCCTAGAGTAGGTGCTCACAATATCTGTCAAAACTTAGAGCTAAATTTCTCCAATTTCAGCTTGGACAGGACAATGGGCAGACAACTTCCAAGATATTTGGCTTAATTTTGGGGGAAAGTAGCCTAGTGAGGGAAAGCTAAGAAAATGTCTCCTCTATTTCCTTTTATTGGGGAGGGATATGGAAAAGTCCATTGAATATTATTTATTGTAAAGAGACATAGAGGAAGCAATTGGTCAGACTGGAATCTGGCTGATTCTGTACCAACTATTCCATAACCCAGCATCCTGCTCCCCTGATTCCAGTGAGCTTATTTCACTCCACCGCACTTCCCAGATTTAATCCAAGTGGTTGTTGGCAGGGAGGCCTGGTCAGGAAGTCATCGTGGTGACTCAATTTACCTCACATGAAAGTGTTGCCTATGTGCCTATGAAATGTAATAGCACCTGTCAGAGTCAGCGATCCAGGTCTGCATCAGAGACACAGCATCCTTGCTTTTGACCTGTGATTTTCTCAGTGATTTGTAAATTGAAACATTGGCAGTATCTGTTTCTCGGTTAATAGTATGGCCAAGTCTATTAATAATCGGTGTAACCTTGAAATACAAACTTACTCATAAATAAGTACAGTATGGTTTCTTCTCTGTCATTACTTCCTGTCCTAGAATCTTAATTTAAGGAGAGGGGATGTGAATTTAAAAATAATATTGAATGGAAGTATGGTCCAAGAAGTAACTGCCAATTGGTAGCAATTGGTAGTCAGTATAGAGCTAATGCAATGCCCCAGCCCTTACCAATGAGAGCATGCCTGCTATGCTGGAGCCAAACGCAAGGTCCTTTGGAGCACAGGGAGGCTTAGGCATATAGTCCTCCAGAGCCAGCCCTCCTCCTGTTCCTCTTCCCATCACCAACTAGTAGGATGTATACCAATTGGACCAAATTGTTTGGATCATCAAGTGTATTTTTATTTTTATTTTTTTAATTAATAAATCTTCATTGTTCAGATTATTACAGATGTTCCTCTTTTTTCTCCCATAGCTCCCCTCCACCTGGTTCCCACCCCACCCCATGCCCTTACCCCCTGCCACTGTCCTCATCCATAGGTCTAAGATTTTTTTCCAGTCTCTTAGCCTATAATGGGTTCTTCTTCTTTCCTAGATTGTTCCTTAGCAAGTGGTAGGGACGTACAGAAAATCCCCCTCAGCTCTGTTTAGACAAAGTCTCTTGATTTCAGATATTAACTCAAAAAGTGTGTGTTACCCAGCCGCTGTGGTTCAGTGGTTGAGCAACAACTCATGAACCAAGAAGTCACCAGTTCGATTCTAAGACAGGGTATATTCCTGGGTTGTGGGTTCGATCCCCAACTTACTGTTGACCAGAAACCTTACCAATAACATAAACAATTGATGAACACACATGCCCAGTGTGGTTCAGTGGTTGAGTGTCGACCTATGAACCAAGAGGTCTCGGTTTAATCCCCAATCAGGGCACATACCCCGGTTACAGGCTCAATCCCCAGGATGGGGCATGTAGAAGGCAGCCAATCAAAGATTCTCTCTCATTATTGATGTTTCTATCTCTCTTCTCCCCTCCTCTCTGAAATTGATAAAAATATTTTAAAAAGAAAATGCACTTATTTATTGAAAAAAATCCGCATGAAAGTGCACTGGCACCATTTATCCCATGTTGTTCAAGAAAAAAACTGTATAATGTTTCTGATAAAATTATAAAATATCACGATATAGAATCCTTCCATTTACATTTGAATTTCTGAGAATGATCACAAGGAAACTCAAAGAGGTAGAGTTTGATCAATTTTCCCAGGAGCTTCTCTTTATCCCTTGCTATTGAAATCATTCTCTTTGGAAGCATCTTTCCTATTATCTGTGGTGACTTTTTTCTTTCCACATACGCTACCTCTGACAGATCCTATTGGGCCAGTGGCTTCCTGTGTGATAGGAGCTAATCTCCAACTGCAAGTTCATGGACTTCACAAAGTCTTGGCTCTTTATCTAGGATTTTCAATTGACTTTATACTCTATTTTCCTTGAACCTGCCTTGTGTTGTCCAATATTTACAACATTAGACAAACAGAGAGATATTGACCAAAGATGTAGGTCTAATAGCAAGAGTACTAATTGACTAGGGATGTTTGAGGAGGAACTAATTTTATAATTAGGGATGGGGGTGGTTCATGATGACTTTTAATTCTTTACACATCTGGAATGATTTGGAGAGTCAATATCTGAATATGGAGGATGCTCCTATACTCCGTGTGTATTTACTGATTGGATGGAAGTGAACCTCTCTTTGACTCAGTGTCTAGATATGCAAAATGAAGAGCATGGTATTCAAATCAGCAAGGAGATGGAGTTGTCTAATATGACCCAAAGTAAACCGGATTAAAACTTATTGGAGTACTAGTGCAATCTAAAAAAAACAACCAACAAAAAACATTGCTGTCTAAGAAACTTTCTACAGTGATGATGGAATGTCCAAAAGTAGACTTATTCGCTACAGCTGGTATGAAACACTTGAAATGGGACTAGTGCAACCGAGGAACTGGGTTTTGCATTTTAATTCATTAACTTGCAATTAGATTTAAATCTGCATGTAGCCCGTGGCTGCCATATTGGACAGCACAGCTCTGTGAGGTCTCTCTCATAATGTTGTCTCCAAAAAAATGGACAAAGTTGGTCAAGCTTCCCACCAGGGCCAGAGGAATATCCATGCAGATAAGAGCTTCTTCAAATAGCAGGAGTGTGACCAGGTTACCCAAGCCATTCATCTGGCCTCTCTGAGTAACAGGGAGAACCCCCATTGCTCACCGGAGCCACCCACTCTTTCATAGAAGGTGCTCACAAGCTTCTCATTTTCTGCTAATTCCCCACCACTGCCTAGTCATCAGGGACGAGTCTTTCTGAGCAGCTCAGTGCTGCACCTTTTGTGCCTGATGAAAACCAACTCCGTGGATAGATAAATGTCCCTGAAAACATCAGCCCTGCGGTGGCCTGCAGCGAGGGGGAACTCAGCTCAGGGTAAAGATATGTTACAAATTAAATGCTGCAGTTGGTATGTAAAGCTGCAATAAATAGAAACTGAGTTACATCAAGGACGGAATTAAACCTTAAGTTTAAACTGCACAGCACTGTAATTAAAACTTAGCCTGTAGCAAATCATTCACTTGAGATTAAAGTAGTGTGGGGGAAGCAGAGGTTTGGGCTTACCTTGCTTTCCACAATTTATAAGTCTGAGCTACCAAAAGCTAACAGCCCTGCCCCCAAATCCAGCTCCCAATTAAAAACACAGTTTGAAAACCTTTAGGAGGCCTGAGGGGCCCCTTTAACAGAAGTCTGCCCCTTCCCCCACCCCTGCCCAAGTCTATGAACAAATTAAAAAATATTACCTGGTCCCCTGATGGTCTTCTGAGCTGACACGGTGTTTTCATTAATACATCATTAGAGTAATGACATTGTGCTGGTGTTTTGCTTTCAAACCAGCCTGCACTTCAACCACTATGAGTACAGGCTCGGGGCCTCTGCACACTTTGTTCCTGGGAAGTATTATCCACATAAAGAAAAAAAAAGGAAGACAAGCTGTAATTCATAAATTTTTAATGCGTCTTCCTTTTCTCCTAATCCGGGATGTTCGGGCTCGCTTGGTGTTTAATTTTTGTCTGTTGGTTCTGCAAAGTAAACACTGGGGTTAGATTAACCATAGCCGTAACTCCTAGAGCCAGCAGGCCTTCCCAGCTCTCCCACCACAACCCAAAACAGGTTTCTCTCCTGTTCGAAGTGTGTCCTTTTGTGCGAATGCAGTTCGAGGATACAGAGTTGAAACTGTGGTATTTTTATTTTCTAGACTGTGAACTGTTACCTCATAGACAACAATGGATTTATTCTGGTGTCTGAAGACTACACACAGGTGAGCAAGAAATTCCTACCAGTTGAGAGTAAGGACCTTGGATGTGCTTGAGTCAGGGAATGCAAATTACGGTGTTAAAACTTTGAGACAATGATCTATAGTTAAGAGGTAATAGCAGGAGATTATAAACCCTTATTTCCATCCCTCTAAGAATGTCACAGCCCACTTCTCAGCAGGCCCCAAAGAGTTTTTACCTCCCAGTGGGGGTCTGGGGGGGGGGGGCAGCACAGAGCCCAAGATCTGCTCACTCACTCATAAAATGTTCAGTTTATAGAACTCTATGCCTTAAGGGTAGAGGTGCCTTAAAGAGTTTGGGCAATTTTAAGGAGGTTTCCTCCTTTTGATATTTTATCTTCATATATATATATATATATAACTTATATATACACACAGATATATATATATATATTCCAACATAATTGTTCTTTATGGCTTTCTTTCTGGTTTTTGCTTTTTAAAAATCAGTAATCTGAGTTCAAGGGTTAATTTGACTCTCAACACTGAGGGACAAGGATCCAGAGACAAAGAATGTTCTTCATTTGAGTGAGCCGTGTGCAGTTCAGGGGCAGGAGGGAAAGAGATAGAAACAAACAAACAAACAAGCTATGGGGGTGAGCACAGAAGTCTCCAGCGTATTCAGAAATCAAAATAAGAGTTAAAATTCATGCACTAAAACTTTGTGCATTAAAACTTCTTTTTTTTTTTTGCAATTAGAAGTCAAATTAACATATTCAAAGAATGTACAATACAGGCAGGGATAGCAGTGCCGTGCAATGTACAGGTAAAGGTTCTTGGTGAGACCTCTCTTCCTTAACTAGTTTTGGGAACTTGTGCATATCACCTAACCTGCCTGGGCCTCCTGGCGAGCTCTGTGAAGGGAGAATGGTTGACTACATATGGTTTCTTCTAACTCTAATATTTGAGGATACTGACATTTTATAGTGAAGTCCCATTTAAATTATTTGAAATTCTTTAGTAGTATTTTAAATCATTTGAAATACAATAGACCCATCATTGCTTAATAAATTAATTAATTGTCCTTAAGTATGGCTTCGTAAGGTCAGAGCTTAATGCTCATTAATGTATAAATACAGGCCGGAGGTAGCATGTAGAATTGTGCTTGCTTCTTCTCCATCCATGAGAGTGCTGTGGGAATTTTAAATGCACCTTTGATGGGTGAAAACTCATACTGTTGACACAAACTGCCCACACCCCATCTCCTCAGAGGCTGAACATTATTGGACATTGGCTAGTTAATGGCTATTAGATAAGAGGAATAAGCCCACGAAACAAGGCCCATCTCAGAGGGAGCCAGGAAGCCCATAGGCCTGTGATAATATACCCGTTCTTCTGGGAGGAGAAACAGTGAGATATTCAAGGTATGGCGATGCACAGAAACTAGACTTTTGGTGGTGAGCATGCTTTAGTGTTACAGATACTAAATTATAATGGTGTATTCGAGGGCTGGCCAGCAGCTCCTGAACAATGGATGAACAGATTACTCCCTCACAGTTTCACTGTGAAAGAGAAGGCTAAGGGGTTGCCTGGCTCAAGGGTCCAAGCAGCCTTGATTGCCTGCCTCGTTAGCCTTTTATTGTAACAGCAGTTTGAGATAAAGTTTATCTTTAAGATGCAATCAGTAGGGGGAGTAATCTTGGGAGGACACATGTGTTTGCAGACCCTGGGGGTCTGCACATGCACAGACTTGTTTGGAAAGGTCAAGGAATAATTAGGGGCGCCACCTTCGATACTCCCCTAAGACTCCCCTAAGTCGGAATTCCGATAAACAGGGCAGGTGGCCTTCCACACACTTCCCTTTTCTCGGAATGTCCTCCTTACAACTTTCCAACCAAGTCTCATGCTCCCCAACAGGTATACACCTGAAACTTACATGTTATGAACCAATGTTAGCACAATTTTTTTTTAAAAAACAAGATTCATTGGTGGAGCAAGAACCCAAATTAATAACCAGTGAGGAGGAACTCTGTCCTTCTGCCAGAATCACGAAGGGCCAGGACAGGAGCCTGATCCTGGGGGGATGGAAGGTGTGGGGTGTCTTCCAGTGTGAGTCTTGGACCAGCCAACAACGTGAGCCATGAAATAGTGACAATAGCAAAGCCATGGCCTAACACAGCCGTGGGCAAACTACAGCCCACAGGCCGGATCCGGCCCATTTGAAATGAATAAAACTAAAAAAAAAAAACACCATACCCTTTTATGTACTGATGTTTACTTTGAATTTATATTAGAAAACACAAACACTCCATCCATGTGTTTGTTCCAGCCCTCCGGTCCAGTTTAAGAACCCATTGTGGCCCTCGAGTCAAAAAGTTTGCCCACCCCTGGCCTAACACATGGGCTCTGCTCCCTGCTGGACCTCTCCGGGGAGGAGGCCCACAGCCCTGTCCCAGGAGCCTGCCTCTGCCCGGGCTTGTTGGATGTTTGGTTTCCTACACCCCAATTAGGATAATTCTTCTTCATCTAGGAACCAGTTCCATTGGCACTGGCCCATTTACACACACGTCACACCAATGTCCTCTCACTCCTAGTGGCCTCACAGGCCAGTTTACCAAGTGTCCCTTAGTGAAAAGGCAATGCTCAACATTCAGTCAGAGAAATGTTTCCTATTTCTGTCTCCTCCTCTCTTGACATTTTGGCGAAGTGTATGTAGGCCTTTCTGTCTGAAAACTCCGAGGAGCATGACTGAGGTCACCGAGTTGTGAATGGAATCGGGTTTAAGTTAATACAAAGCCTATGGACCGTATTAATTCAGGCTCCTAGAGTAATGCTCTCCACCCAACCCACATAAGCTATGAATCCTCGGAGTGGCCACAGTAAAGAGAAAGGTTCCCTCCTGGTGGACCCTGGCTGGTGCCAGGGCATTGGCTGGGAAAGGCTGGTCTGCCATACTGCATGCCCCTCCCCTGAGGGACACTGGAGGGATGAGGGCTGCATGAGGACATTGACCCTTTATCCCATCATTCAGAGTTAGCAACTAGATTTTTGAAAGCATCCACCTGGGGTAGGAAGGGCTGCTAGGCCTCAGATGCCCTGAAGACAGCGCCAGGTAGGGGAAGGGTAGGCCATTGGAACCTGACTGCCAAGCTGTCTCCCCAAGGGGCTGACTGTCCTGTTTCATCGACATATGAACTGCCTGTCCACGCACAGAAAGAGGGTTTCTCAGAAAGTGATTTTGAGGAAGGATGCATTCTCAGCTATAGGGAATGTAGAGGGCTGATGATGAAGAGAGCTGCTATATTTCCTAAACAGGTCATCCAGAAATTATAAATAATTCTTTTATTAATGCTTAGGAAGCCCATTCACAGCTTCACAGCCTGTTTCTATCTGTATGAAGTAGTATTTTAATCACAAGGGATTGCGTGCAGATGAATGCTTACTCTATCCAGGGTAGTTGGTGTGTGTATGTGTGTATTGTGTGTAATTCCAGCACTCAGCATGTGCTATGTAATGCAACACTCCCCACCCTGCCCCTGCCATGCATTGAGGACCAGTCACATCTGCTTACTAGTTTGCTCACACCATCTAGTGACTATTAAGACCTTTCCCATTTTTATGTAAAACCCTGAAAACCTGCCTGTTGCTCCTGTCAGCTCCAGGACGAAGACTGTGTCCGTTTTTCTTCTCTGGTGCTTGGGACCATTATTTCTCTACACTTCCTCATGGGTCTTCCTTTCTTCCTCACAGACGGGGGACTTTTTTGGTGAGATCGAGGGAGCTGTGATGAACAAATTGTTAACAATGGGCTCCTTTAAAAGGTAAGATTTTATGGTCCCCTGCGCCCCCCGAGAAAGTTTGCCTAAATAAAATAAAACAAACCAAGGTCAAATAAAGCAAGCCTGGACTTGACCCCGTGGCTGGTTTGCACTTGTGTTCGTGCTCCAGAAGATCTTGCTGAAACCCGATGCCTCTTCGAGAGTGTTAAGAGTCTTAGAAACTCAACTCACAATGGGTTTCCTGTTCACCCAGCCCAGAGTTTATTGGAGGGCAATATTGAAGTTGGAGCCTGCACTGGGACACAAGTATATCAGTCTTAAGCAAGCGATTGGAAAAAGAAAAAGAAAAAGAAGAAAAAAAAGTAGGAAACGTTTTCACCTGGTCAAAAAGGGGTGCATTTTGTCTCCCATTGGCAAGCTTCCCAGGGAAGCTTGCTGGAGATCTGGACCTCAGGGATGGAAGGTGATATTTAGAGACTTGATGATATAATTGTAGGAAATCAAGTGAAAGGTCTCAGCACTTGCTCCCGCTGGAGGTAAGTTTAAATCTGCTGCTAGAAGCAAACCCAGATGGTGCCACATTCTGCTGGCAACATATACTACTCAACTGGGTCCGGAGAGGTCTCAGGGACCCTGAGTAAAGCTTCCTCACAGTCCGTCCTGGGATGGCCAGCCCTGCTCTTGGGGCACCGAAGCCTATGGGAAAAGCCATCACCCCAAGCGATCAGGGTGCCAGGAATGTCCCCCGGAAGTCAAACTGTCTCCCTTCCCTTGGCCTCCCTTGGCCTTCCTTTGGAGGGCTGCTTTCATGGGCATATTTGATGCTGTTGAATATATAATTGGAGGAAATACAAGGATGGGCCTCAACGCACCAGTGGCTGCTGGTGGGGAGGGCAGTCTCCCCATGGATCACTCTCCTGCAGCTGAATGGCCAGGAAGTGTTAGCTCAGGAAATCAGACTTTTAAGGCAGTCAATAGACCATCTGAGCACTGTGCTGAAAGCAAGGAATTCAAAAATGATGACCCAGTTTTTGAGATTCCATAGCTTGTTTGTGCCAGAAGGAGGGAAAAAAGAAATGATACAGAAATTGGCCAAAGTCCAGTCCTTCTGCAATCTCTGACACACTTGCTCCCAGGCCCGCCTGGAGCAGACTGCTCACTCCTGCTCATGCTTTCTTTGGAATTCAAGAACAGGCTTTAAGTTGGGTGCCAGGAGTCGTGGTGCACATGCGTGAAAACTGCTGGGAGCCGGGCTGGGGTTGCTATGGAGTTTCTCTGGATGTCTTAAAGCGTCCCGGGCAGCTCCTGGAGTGTCTGCCGCCCAGGACACGGCTGGTGTTGCTTATCTTTATGTGGGTGTGTACGCTTGTATCGTGTTAGCATGTTTTCAGCTTGGGAGTCGGGGGAGACCAAAGAGGAAGAGTGATCACACACCTGTTTCTCATCTGAAAGCAGATTTTTTTTTCAACTTCTTTAACAAAATCTTTTTCTTTTCCCTCTTGGATATTTCTTTCACACAGCTTGGTGGGAGAAAGAATGGTTATAGAGTGGAATTCTAAATTCCTAGTCTTCTCCTTAATGTGGGTGAAGTGTGGTTGACATGAATCTAGAACATTCTCTTACTATGAGAGAGTCCCTATTGTATTTGAGAAAAGGGGAGGGCTGGGGACTTTTTTTTCCATGTTAACAGCAACCACTATCATCTGGGAGTTAGCTGACAGACCTCCTGAGCCGATTGGACGGGGCCCCTCCCTGGGACCAGGAGAGTTTGGGATTAGGAGTCGATGGAGTGGGTTTGAATCCAGGCTTTGACTAGCTGCATGACTTTAGAACACGTTACCCCTCCAAGCTTTGGTTTCCTTACAGGGAAAATGGAGATGATGATACTAATTACTTCCATGGGTTGCTGTCCGAGTTAGGAAGATGGTAATAAGCTTAAGGTTCTGACACGGTGCCTGGCATATGTCAGGACTCTGTAATTGCTGGCTGCTGCTGCAGCCTTGGTCACTATGGATCTTGGCTCAGCATTGGCCCCAGGTGATGCTTCCTCTGCTTCCACATCTCACAGTAGGCTTCCCACCACACCTGGGATGGGGTCTACAGTGCAGCCCTGCAGTCCTTGAAATCAGACATCCCTTCCCGGCCAACCCTTTCCAGCACGAGGTGCTTAGGCATGGCACAGGTGGACAGCCCTTCATTCGGAGACCTGTGTTTCAGAAGCAACACCTACAGACCAACCTACAGGATGGAGCTGCAAGTAACCGTCAGTGGTCTGGGACAGAGGTCGTTTACATGTTAATCTGATACCCATCCCCACCCCAAACTAGGACACATGGAGTCTGAGTTGCTCTGGCAATGTGTCTGGGCCCAGATAAAGCTCAGGAATAGGTCCCTGAGATGATCTTTGATCTTAGCATCATGATCAGTGCCCGGATAGCACTAAGTTTTTTCTTTGATCTGCTCATGCCTGGTCCTAAACAAATGAGTTCCATGTACAAGAACCCTACAAACCATCTTTTTCAGAGAGAGCGTTCAAAGAGACAAGCACCCTTTCCCTTTACCAACCTCCCATCTGTGACCTCCTCTGGCCCCTATGTGCTGCCTCTCCCTGATGCTTGCCCGTGTGTCAATGGACTCTTCCCTGGAATGTTTGGCCACATACTTGGTGACCTGGTGGCCATTCTACCTAGCAGTGCCATTGGCAGGAAAGGGCACCCACTTCTGTATCTGCAGGGCCCAGTGGAAAGAAGGGAAGCCACCGACTTGAGTGAGCAAATGACCAACTTGAGGAAGTGTGTGCAAACAATCTGGGAGACACAATGGTCACTCTTGGTCATTTAGCTGAGTCTCATCTGTGACTCTGGCCGCCCCCAGCTGGCATATGACATAGCATCCAGGGGCCAAATAATATACCAGGTGCTTCAGCAGTGTGACAATAATGACCACCATGGCGACCTTCCCTGAGCACCTTCCATGCACCAGGCCTGATAGATTTTACCACTTGCAGTCCTTTCCAACAACCCTGTGACAGGACCGGCTGCACAATCAAAGGGACACAGTGCAAAATGACCACGTGGGACCCTTTGTTCCCAAAGTGTCAAGAATTTCAAGACAATGACAGCAGAGCATTGAACCACCACGGGGCCCTTCTAAGCGAGGGTTCTATGCAGTGACACAGGCCAGTGTGCCTGTTTAGCCATCCCTGGGTATAAATATACCCATTTTATAGATGGAAATAATGAGGCTTGGGCAGATTAAGAACTGGCCCTAAGTCTCTGTGTATCAGAGCTGGATTCAAACATTCTGTGGTCTGAGCACGGAGAGAATTTTCTAGCTTCTGTCCTTGTCCTGGTTCTACGGAAAATTAGCGCCTGTAGCTCCCTTGAGCTCCTTTGGGAAGTGGAGAATGGCCAAGGAGGATGCTGTCTCAGCAGTGTCTTATCTGGGCAAGCAGAGCTCCCAGGATGGGGGGCCCGCTGAATGATATGATCCTCCATTTTTCTTCCAGCCGAAGCTGACAAACCATTGACCTAAGCCGTGTTCCCAGGCTTCACGCATTTTCTCATAAGATACCGTGTGCCTGGTCAGCTTTTTGTGTTTCAAACAGAGAGCTTCAAATACTCCTTCCTCCTTATCGCGGAAAGTAAGTGAACTCCCTGAGTGGTGACTCATTTAGGGCTTTCATTTGAGCTGTTCTGCGTTTTCACACGTGTTCATGTCTAGCGCGTGCCTTACGTTTATGTTTCTCAGAATCCACACTCTGTGGTTCCCTTCATGTCGTCGGCAGTGACATCTCCCCTCTGACAATTACTGGGGTAAAACCTAGTTATCTTGTTTCAAAATATTTTTATTGTAATTCATTTATCCCTCCGCGTTTCCTTGCCCCCAGTGATGCAAATTCAATGTGAGATATGCAGGGAAAAGTGGGGAAATGGACACAGCCAGTCGCAGGAGAGTATCCAAGGCTCCTGACAGGGCCTCGGTGATACCTGGACTTGAAATAAGACTCGGGTTGAGCACCAGAATCACCACCATCTGGCCTAGAACAGATTCCTCAGTCTCTTTGAGCCTCTGGTTTTTTGTCATATGGACGTGGGGGAGGGTGGTTTGTCAAACAAAACAAGACGTGAAAATGCCGTGCAAATTAGAAAGCTTTGCAAACAGGAGGTAAGATCAGCTCCTGGATAAGAGCTCCCAAAATCTGAGATCTTTTCTCTGTCTTTATTTTAGTCACTAATGACCCCCCAAAGGTGGTTACTGCACAACAGTTACCTCCACAGCACAGCATTCAGGGTGGGCGTATGGCCCTGGCCTCTGCCAAGCTCTTCTAGAAGGTTTTCAAACACACCTATGCCGGGCTGCACCCAGGAAATTCATGATCAGTTCAGGGGATGAAGCCCAGGTGTCCATGTTTTTTAAAAGCACCCACGTGACTCCCAGCTGCAGGCATGGTCAAGAAATACTAAGTTGAAGATCCCTGGTTATTAGTCTAGGGCCGTGGTCGGCAAACTGCGGCTTGAGAGCCACATGTGGCTCTTTGACCCCTTGAGTGTGGCTCTTCCTAAGCCTTAGGAGTACCCTAATTAAGTTAATAACAATGTACCTACCTATATAGCTTAAGTTTAAAAAATTTGGCTCTCAAAAGTAATTTCAATCGTTGTACTGTTGATATTTGGGCCTGTTGACTAATGAGTTTGCAGACCACTGGTCCAGGGTCTAGACTCCCTATATAAGATCGAGATTCCTGTGTTTTGCCAATTTTGCCAGTCTTTAATAGAAAACATTTTTAAAGTTTCTCTCTCTCCTCTACCTCTTAGAGCAGTGGTTCTCAACCTTGGCTGCACATTAGAATCACCTGGGACTCTTTCTTTATTATGGGGTGGGGCCACAACATTAGTAACAAAGAAACAGAATTTCCAGAGGATGAGGCCCAGAAATCAGGATTTTAAAAAGATTCCCAGGTGATTCTAATGTGCAGCCAAGGTTGAGAACCACTGGTCTAGAGGCTGCCCACTTCAGAGCTGCTTGAATTTGGGCAACTT